CAAGCCAGCCAACTTCAAGTACTGGTAGTTACACCTTAATGGCACAACCCTACAGCCGCATTAGAGCTCGGAGTTCGAATGCTTGAAGCCTGCAGACTTTGAATGCTAAGCAAGCAGTGCATCCATTGCATTTGTACTTTTTGCGTAGTAACATAAAATGCACCTCGGGTAACATCTTGTAAAGTCACCGTCATATAATCGCTTTTATTATCCTCTGGGTGCGGTAAGAGACAACAGTGCTGATGTTATTGCAGCTGCTTTCACTGTAGACATTTCCGCGCCAGATCATAATGCGTTTTACTTTATTTTATTTGAGTTTCTTATTTATTTATTTATCATTCTTTTTTATCTTTTAATTTAGTAATCTAGGAATTGCTTCTTTGTGGTACTCGTATATTGAATTTTTATTAATTTTTTCTGTCTTTGGTTTTTTTTTTAAATTCAATTTTCAATGGAATTTAAATTTGCTTATAATATTATCCCCGATTCATGTTTCTATTTAATATAGTACCTATATATATTTTCATTAATTTTAAGGGATAGTATGTCAGATTAATTTAGATTGCATTATAACTAAGAAAGACAATTTTATACCAAGGGTTTTTTAAAATTGGGTTCACATCTGGTCTGAATGAAAGCAGCACTGTTGTTAATGTGAAGTATAGAATATTGTTTTGGTTGTACTATGATTTTGAACGACATTTTAAAAATTGTTCATAGTCAACGGAAAAAGATATTAGTCATGGCCATAATATAATATATAGTATATACTATGATCCAAAAACAGTGTTGACATTTCAATGACAGCGAAGCAACAGAAAAAAAACTGATCATCCTAAATCATCAAAAAATCAAACCTAGTTTAAGAATGCAGAATGGAAATTGGCGAGTAAGACATTCGCAGGTGTATTCAAGGCAATATCAGTTTATGTTCCCCTGAATATTGTTAAGGAAGTAATTACTGCTACTTATTTCAGCTTGATAATGTTAAATGGGAGACAGTTAGACAGTCATGTGTAACTTCTCGTTTAATTTAGTCTTAATACTCGTATAATAACAGCTGAACTTGAGAACTCATTAAAAGAAGTCACATGTGTTCTGCAAAGCTTACTGCACCTCTCTCTGGTAACTGGTGTATAGGAACTCACGCGGACAAGATATATAAATTACTCACTATAGAAATAATGGAAACTTATGGGAAAAATTATTAATTAAGCATTTTCTCTATAGTAACAGATTTTTAGAAGTCATTTTTGACAGTTTATTAGACTATTATATTTCTTTAATTCGATGGAATGGATTTATCTTTTCTGTTTATATTTTAAGGCTTCTTGCGATGAATATGCTAGTAAAATGATGAACAAATACCAATTGTTGTCTTAGCAAATAATGAAACATTAAGAAAATTTTTCAGACCTAGTCGTATAATTCTTGGGACTTTGAGCGACTTGGGATCATATAACTTGATCATCTTGAAACTCATGTCACTGTTGACAACTAACGGGTATTTTTTTAGCTGTACTATCGATATCGAAGACTATGGTTTGACAGCTGAGAATATAAAACTCTGTTGACATTTGTGGTCAGTATGGCTTGGTAATTCATCATTAACCGATTAAGTGGTAATGAATTCAATGGCCTATATATACTTATTAATTTAATATATCTAGAACCGATACATAGTTTTTCGTAGTTTTAACAATTTTTTTACTATTGCACTAAAATGAATCCAAAATTTTATTTTAATCAAAAATATTTTTACACTACTTATAAGAAATAAGAAATGTCATAAAATGCATATTCATTTTAACGCTTTAACGATCCTGTGAAATTAAATATCATTTAAGAATTTTATTTAGTATATAATTTTCTCATAGTATAAAACCTAAATATGTTCGCAATACAATCTTGCACATAAAAACAAACTTGCATTAACAAAGACTTTCATTATCTGTGCTTTATTCTATGATGCATATTTAAGTGTTCCAAAGCCATAAAAATATACCGCTGCACTCTTGCTGTCGCCTTTGTCGCTGTTGTTGTGTGTACGTGTTTATACGGTATGTTTGTACCAAGTGGCTTTTCACCTTATTTATGGGTCATATAACCATAAAGCCATTCATGCACTCTTGCATGTCTTTTTGATTCAACTCATCCTTTTGTTGAACGGTCCCTATGTCCCAACTACTAGCACGGCAACAGCAACAATGGAATTGCATTAATGCACGTTGCACCATGTCGCACCGCTGAGTACCTCGTAAATTTTGACAAAGGTAACCACAATCGTGCAGTAATTTTTAGCGCTCGGTGTTCTTTTTGTCTGCACGGCACTGCATTTTTATAAAATACATTTTTTGCACACTTTACGCATTTGTGGGTCGTTTCAGGGATTGAAAAAATGCTTTGCGGCAACAAAATCATCGTTTATCTCAGAACAATTTAATGCACAAAGCACATACACGTAGACAGCCGTATATCTATCTTCATAGACTAGACTCACTCTCAAATATTTGTGTCCATAAATATAAAAGCAATAAAATCTTATAGTATGTTAATAAATTCCACTCCTTATTCGCAAATCGTTTTTATTTTATAATGAACTCAAGCCAATTTGAGAAGAACTCAAATGCACTACTCGTAGATTCTTTAAAAGTCAATTAAAACTGAAGAGAAAATAAAAAAAAAAATAAATATAGCAAAAGAAATTTTAAATCAATTTTAAGACAATCAAACAAAAAAAGAACTTCCTTGGCAGAGGAAACGGAAAAAAGAATATAATTTTGAAATGAAAATATTTCAAAAAAAATGTATCTTTATTCGAGGCAATAATAGAAAAGAGAAAATTTAATATCTTAATCTGAAATTGTAGCATTTTGGCTATTTAAGTGCGAAAAAAGCAACAAATTCAAGCGTTTCATACACTTCAAATGTGCCTTTACGGGAATACCTAAGATACTTAGCCATTAAGCTCGCATCTCTTAAGCCGCCTCACATTTCAACATAGTCACATGCCTACGCACATTAATATAAATTTTATGGCTTTATATCCTTTATGTGCGTAAATGTTTATGCATTTATATGTACAATTATGTACTATATAAAGAGATTCGGTTTTGGGTAGGGATAGGAGTAGGAGTGGGAGTAGGAGTATCTGTGCTGCTGCACGTATTATATTGCATTACACGAGCATTGCGGCAAAGTGCGCCTGTTTATGGTGTCATAAAATGATGTACAATACATAACAATAGCATTGGGCGCCATTTTTTATTTTTTAGCGCCCTGCTTAGAATGTATTAAATCCTATCCTATAAAGTAATAAAATTTCCTTGCAATTCACACTTTGTTGTTGCCATTTTTATAAGCGCTTCTTCCTATGACACTGCTGTTCTATTCTTATAACCGAAGTATCCTATAATATCCTATAGACACACGGCTCTTTCTATTAAATAACAAATAAAGATAAAATTGCAATAAAATGTAAAGAAAGCAAGTGAAAAAAA